TTTATATATTTATCAAATTATAATATATTCGTCCTTTACATATTCCGTCGACACTTCCTTCGTCCAAATCAATATCGAATCCTCTATAAAATAATCTTCCATAAATACATCAAATTATTTATATAAATTATATTTTAATTCTATATAAATTAAATTATATTTTATAACAAATATATATATATATATAAATTTATTATAAAATATATTAATCAATAAAAAAAATATATTCGAATATTATTGTAATTCATTTTATGTATTTTTTTTTTAATTATTATATTTATTTTTTCTATATTTTATTTAATAATATTCAATTATATTTATTATTAATAATATTATTAATTATTCAATAATATTATTCAATAATATTATTTATTATATATTTATTAATAATGTATATTATTTATTAATATTATTAATTCATTAATTATTAAATTATTATTATTATTATCATTATTATTGTTATTATTACCACCATTACCCTTATCATTATTATTATTGTTGCTACTACTACTACATACTACTACTACTGCTACTGCGACTACGACTTACGATTGTATACGGCTACGATGACTACTACTACTACTACTACTACTACTACTGCCGCTACGACGACTATATCCTACTCAGAGCAAGTGGATCCTCAATGGTTCCTCAGATTTTATTGATCTTGATCTTATTGACCTTCCACGCACCCTGGGTCAAGTCTTCGCTGTCGTCGAGCTTCACCTTCGAAGCTCGTTGGATGAGTTCTTCGAGCAACTTCTGGAACAGCGGTTGAGCGACTCTGGATCCTTGGTATTGGTGGTTCCATTCCTTCGAGGTCAGCAGCATGGACGGCATGCTGATGCTGCCTCTCAGGATGAAGGAAGGATCCAGAGCCATCTGATTGAGCATGTTCTCCTGTCTGAGGCTCAAGCGGGCAAGCATCTGCAGCAGATTGTCTCCATTCGATGTGTTATCCGATGAGTTGGAGGACGGTCTGGATCGGTTGTGGCCATTGTGGAGCCTGGACGGTGTGGTGTCTTCGGTACTGGGGCGTTTGCCATATGTCCGTGAGCTCTTGAAAGCTTTGATCGTCTGGATGCATACTGCCGGACGTCTTGGGAGCTCTGGTCGAACCAAGATTTCAATTTGACCCCAGGTGACGTCACCTGGGGTCAAATTGAGATCTTGGGCCAAGACATGCCCTACTTTGTACAATGAGGGCAAGTTGACAACCAAGATGTTCATGAACGAAATGGTGCATCGGAGACCACAGGTCTTCATCCCGCTTGACTCTCTGGCCATGGTCTGCAGTGTGTTTTTGTGTGTTTTTTTGTTTTTCAAGGTTTTTTGCATATATTGTTTGTTCACATTGTCGAGCTTGATCAGCAGATAGAAGGCTTTGAAGCAAAGAGTTAAAAGAAGGCGCGTTTCTACAATATGCATGCCTTCACCCCCCCCCCCCCCCCCCTTCTGGAAATTTACCACACTAACTCTCAACAACATCAACTTCAACATGAGCAACTTTTAGTCTGATCAGCAGAAACACAAAAAAGCACGCAAGCTCGCCAAAATTATGGCGGTCATGCCACATGCAGAAAATACTGTTGCAGCCAGGTTCAAAGTTGAAACCTTCCATCGGGTTTCCACTGTATTCTATTTCCATTTGGTAGTCGGTTGCCAAAGAAACGGTTCAAAGTTCGAGTGTGTGCATTGATTTGGAAAGCGAGGATGCCAATGATGACAATGTGGTATTTCCATGTATTTCCAATCCTGTTCGCAGATCGTCTGTTTGAAATCTTCTATGCTGGTGAGTCTTATAAGCGTTGTGCAGGAGTCCGTGCATCATCATGTTGTCCATTCTTGTCAGAAGGGTATGGGAACTATCCAGATTATCTAGCAGAAAGGAGGGTTCAAATTGATGTGTTTGCCTTGGTGGTCCAAAAGATGGATGGAATACACTCGGTGGTCTTTAGATAGCAGGTTGCTTGGGCCGGAGCTTGCAACTATTAAGGGCTGCAATTGCTTGATTGACAGAATTCTTGAGTTGGTGGGATACACAACGAACTTCCATAGAAAAGCGAGCCCTGCTAATTCCCGACCTGTTGTTAGTTTTTCCTAAAGCGTCAGCTCGAAACCAGATTCAGCAGGGGAAACCAGCAGCATCGCACAGCTTCGCTTGGCTCGTTTGACCACCGGCGATATTCATCAAATCTGTGATATGCTAAATGCCTAAGCCGGGCATTTTGGGCAGCACATCCCGTTCTCAGTGGTGGGCAACACCTGAATGCATCAACTCCGCACGTCTTGACCTTGCTGGAATATTTCAATCCACCTTCTGTTTTCATTCGATAAACCACCATCCAATACAATCCAATACACCAAAGCTGGCAACAAAGGCAGCAAAGTTTGCGCCTCTTCCTTTGCGCACATGGTGGGGAAGCACCACACCTAGGCAGTCAAAACTTGCAGGTTCGCAGCACCTTGTCTGGGTGGTGAAAATTGTTTTGCTGAAACT